ATTTATTAACACAGAATTCCTAATTTTCGACTTGTCTAATTATTCCTTCCCATGATGAACAACTTGATTTGTCAAACTTCTTGACACGCTGTCCAAATTAAATCAAGTCAAAGAGAGTTTCAGAATTATTTGACTTCTCCGTTATTTCAGCTCACATCCCGTCATCAAACTGGACGATCATAATTGAAGAACTTAGGGTAAATCGGAATTGGATCTAAATTTGTTAGTTTCAAAATATGGTAATCCACCTAACCTCTAAATACCCATATACTAAATATATTAGTAAAATAAGGGGCCGTCCATAAATTACGTAAGTCGCGAGGGTGGAGGAGGGTTTAAGGCTCCAATAATATCGTTCCTAAATACGTTACACAATACATATCTGAAGGGCAGGCGGGGCCGTCTGGAATATCGCGATTTCTGAGTTACGGAATTCATGTACAGCCACTAATAAAATAAACGTTCTGCCACTTACACTCTATTTTTCTTCCTCTATTTTACTTCTACCATTTGTGTATGTCTCCGCTCCTTTTGCGCTGAGAGTTTTTAGACTAGAGGTTAGCTAAACATTTGTTCATAATACATACAGTTACATACATTTGAAATATATTTATGCAATGCTTGATGTTATTACACATGTATGTACACTCTAATGAAAGTTGTAGAAAATTTCTACAAGGTTGTGTAAAACTTTGTCCAACCTTGGGTAGAAAAGAGGATGACACAACCGGTGGCTAAATTTTACTCAACCAGGTTGAGCAATCTGTTTGCACAACTAAAAGTGAAATTTACTCAACGAGTTGTGAAATTTTTACTCAATTGAATGATTAAAATTTACTCTTTGGTTGATCAAAGTTTGCTTTTTATGCTGATTAAAATAGATTATTTACCTTATTAAAACTAATTATTTATTGTAATTGATACTCATGAATATGTTATAAATTGTACAAATTCTAAACACAATTAAAATTTTGACAGATAGTCCAACGAAACTAAAATCCACTAATCTCTCTAGCTGTTTTGATTAATTTAATTAAATGTGGCTAACTGATTAGCTGAAATTATTTCAGCAAACGAACCAGCGGCACCGTCCAGGAACTAAAAAAACTTTGTCGCCACCATCGTTCTCTGTAAAAAAAATAAGCACAAATAAATATTTCAATTTATTGCCAAATATGACCAAATTTGCAAAAAAATTCAAAAAAATCACCTTACCTTTGAACTTATCGGCATATTGGAGTCAACCGGTATTTAATTTGAAGAGATTTTTTAAAATGAGGAGTTAATTTACTGCTGCTCCTTTTTTAACTTGCTGTAACCAACTGACAGCATCCGTGTGGCTGATAAATAGGCAGAGTTGGTCTTATTCAACAGGTTGAGTAAAAATTAATCAACGCGTAGAGTAAAAATTAATCAACGCGTAGAGTAAAAATTAATCAACTTGTTCATTTATCGCCCAAAATTGATTAACTTTATATTTGATCAGCAAAAAAGTCAAATTTTGTTCAATGTTGAGTAAAACATACTTTGCACAACTTTATTGTGTAAATTTTACCCTTTAGAAGCATAAATTTTGTCCAACGTTGAACAAAATTTGATCAATTTCATTTTGCTCAACCAGCGTTGCTCAACTTTGTTTAGAGTGTATCATGTACCGAATTGTAGCTGTTGGGTATAAGTAGATGCGTTCCTAGATATGTTGTTCGTTTAGAGTGCGGAGTTCCCTATATGAAGATGCACATAATCAAGCAATGCCTGCACTATATGATGAGGATTTGTAATATGGAAGAGCATCGCTATACTAAGAGATGCTTTATTGCTTTACATAAGGAGCTGAGGAGCGGAGAGTATGGTCCACTGAACTGGGTTGGACAAGTAAATAAGCTATTAGAAGAAATGGGTTATGGAAACTTTATGCACTCTTTAGATGCATCTCTTATCCCAGCAATGCTGGAGCGAGTCATTGATATTTCGCGTCAAGAGGACATAAGTAAAGTGAACTGTTCCACAAGATACAGCCATTACAAAGAACTCATTAACTTGACACCAGGTCCAGCCCCTTATCTTGAGTTCAATCTACTTTTAAAAAATTGACTCTAATAGGACAAGCGAGACTAAATTTAACATCCTTCTACCATGAGAAATATGTTCATAAACTAAATGTTGATGAAATCTGCAATATATGTAACTGCAAGGAAGAGGAATCTATCTTTCATGTGCTGTGGAACTGTAGGGTTTACGGTGGTAGTAGAATGTGGATACGAGAACTAGAAAGGAAAAAGGATAAAACAATGGGTCTACTCTGCAATAAAATTGGCCATGCTGACTCTATTTACAAATATTTAAATGAGGTCTTAAGAATGCGGAGATTGATGCTGGAGGAAGATAATCTGACCATTAACCGAACTAACACAACTAATGCAACTATCAAATAATTATAATAAATTGTATTCCAATTAAAATTTTATGATGAGATGATGTATTTATGGACTCGATTTACTACTCCAACACTGTAATAACTTGTAATTCTATGGGCCATGAGCCTTGTACGAATTTCAGAATAAATTATTATTATTATTATTATGTACCGAATTGTTGTACATGTATCATATTACAATATGAAATAATAAATTCGCAATTTAACTTCATTTATTAATGATATTAAGTTGAATTTCTTAGAAGTTTTTCATTATTTAATGCACTCGATACTTATTGATGTTTGGGTTCAAAATTTATACCTTAATATCATGCTTGTCGATGTACACATGCACTTATCTATCATTACAAACATATATGACTGCACGCATATTTAGGTTGCTTCACTAGCTGTAAAATAAAGTAGTGATAGATATTGAGCAGTTTTACACACATCCACAAACTCATATGACCGATACATGTGTGAAAATGCTGTAATTAACATGCGATGGACACCATGGCCTGGCCTCCACCTTTTTAAAGCTAGTCCCCTTATAAATATGTAAATGGTCTGTACACCTGTGTACCTGTCAACCTCGGCCTTAGCCTGATCTAAGGCCAATGTCAGTATTTGTAAACAAAACAAATTCTCCTACCCGAATATCCAGGTACGCATAATTTAACACTCTTTCAAACATTACTATCGAAATCAAACCGCAATTAAAAGTCATTATTCCCAATTAAACAAGCAGGTCGACATAGCTGCAAACATTTGACAAAATATTTCCTATTCCGCACCAACCTATATAAATACGGAAATACGAACATACTCGCCTAAATTATCAAGTTTTTGAACACAAAAATAAATTCCAGCTCGCCATGCTCACGAACAAATTTCTCTCATACCTTTCCTTCCATCTGAAAATATGCAACTTTCTCGCCCTTCTCCCATTTAAATTCACTTCTGGCAAAATTTTACCAAACGGATCCCCACTTGTCCATTTCCTTGCAAACTTTCACCTTCTTTGTCACTTTACATATACCTGTGTCCTCTTTACGGGAATGCTTTTAGAAGGAGAGAAATCTTTAGTAAAACAAGTGCAGGGTTTGATGCCAATTGTTGCTCACATAACGTCCCTACTTTTCCGGTGGAAGTGGCAGCCGGACCACGCTCGATTAACTTTTTAAATTCTGTTATCCTCTTCGAGCAGAATGTAATCAAAAGTATGTAACAAGTTAAATACTTAAGAGCCGTCCATAAATTACGTAATGCAAAAATCGTGATTTTCTAGACTTCCCTTTTAACATGTGTAACATAGGCACGATATAATTGAGCCTTAGACCCCCCCCTCCCCCCTCTTGCGTTACGTACATAATTTATGGAGGGTCCTATATCAATTAAGCAGATATTCATAAGTCTGATAGAGTCACACTGAACTTGATATTCTTGATTTAATTGGTTTACTTTCTACGCTTGGTATTCAAATAGCATGGTGCAAAAAATTTTTGCTACCGATCTGGTAAAACTTTACTACTGAGATATGTATTATCTATCAATGCCAGAATGGTAGAGTCATGTATGAATACCGCTTTCAACTATGGATTTCTAAGAATAATATAACCCACTTATAGATTCTACTTATCCTACCACAACCCAAGACCGGCTTTTCAAGATAACCCTGCGTCTCGTTCTGTTCACGTGCTGCGTCACACCTAGCGTCAAGCTGTTCATTCTGCGCAACAATATATGCGCCCCACCCTATTTTGGATCCATATTTCTTGACAAGTGTACCCGAAGTGAAGTTAACTCCACTCCCGGAATGCTGAGCAAGTTTCTCGTCTATTTTATCGAGTGGTTCATTCCTGTTCAATGTCTGTGGTCCGCGATGTTCTACTTTATTCAAGTGTACTACGGCGGGCTCACGTATTTGTTGGACTACTTGAACGTTCTGAATGCTACCTGGTACGCAAATTACAATGCAACAACGCATAACCAGCTTCGTTAATAAAGCATTATTAAGTCTGTCAGGCTTAACTCGGATTTCAAATTGACAATTAAAAACTTCAGTCTTAAATTTTGATTTTAAGACACATTTCGACAGGTCGACCCTCTCACCGCGAGCCATTCTGGACTTCTACAAGCAAACGAAACTCTTGGAAATCAAGCTGAACCACTGCGTTGGTCGAATAATAGTTCCCGTGTCACTCGTAGGCTTCCCTAGCGTACAAATTCTCGCCTTTTTCACAATGATTCGTCTCTATGAAGACATTCCGATGCCAGCATTTCTCTATTTCCCACGAATGTATATGGATATGCTACTGCTAAATGTTATCTTGCAAACTCTAGCGGCAAATTTGTCCATCAAGTCGGACCGATTAAGGACCAAATTTCTTACTGAAGGACACACTTGGCGCAAGGTGAACAGAAAAGAATTGCAGGCTACGAACTCTATGAGTCTGAAAGTCGGAAGCAATTACATAGCTGCAGGAACACCGTTGGTCATACAGGATTTTTGTGTTAATCAGACTGTGTCTTTGTTGCTAATGACGAGATAAGTAAGCAAGGAGAGGGTACTCACGGTAAATTCTTGGGGGATCTATTGCTGCATTTTGTTGCTACGGTTTATTTATTTAGATAGTTGTAAGAACCAGCTCTTAATTTCCAAGATTTAAATATAATCAAATATGAACAATCCTAATTTTAATTTTTGCCTCAATTAAGACACTCTTAAAATTTATAGTAATTGATTCTCGGGATATTTTCACACAAGATGGCCGCCGAGGATCCTACACAAGGCTGTGTAGACCAATAACTCCTCTTGTACCCTGCTCCCAAATCGTAGGATTCGAAAAGCAGGCACATCTGAGGTTGGTGATATAATAATATTTGCTGTCCAAAGTTCTTCAATCTGTTGTCACGTGACCAGTCAATCCCGTCCCAAGAATACTGCCCAACCGTGGAAGAGTCTCTCGCACCAAGCCAATATTCTGGAAAATAAAGTAAAATTTAAATCCAATCAGTTTAAAATAGTAAAAAAATCTCCATGTACGTACGCCCTATAAATCCTTCATTTTGGGATTTAGCGACAAAAAAGTCGTGCTGGGCTTGTGTCCTGATTTCAGCAAGTCTCCAACCGAATGATTGGCAGAACTGACTCGCAGATTGCCAGTCCTGGAAAGAGATGAGTCAATTAATGATTACGTATCACATTCTAAAATTTAAGGATGCAAGTTAGAAATATGTAAATAATCAGACAGGTATTCATTTCTCAGTGTTGAAGTTACTACCGCTTGGTGTTAAAAGTTGACAAAGACATGGTAAAGCACTACTTAAATATCAATGTTTATCAATACTACTTTGGTAGAATCATACATGAATATCGCTGGATTCTCCTATCACTGGAAGTTAATTTTATTAATGGATTTCTTATAGAATGTAATTAATCTCAAGCTTTTAACGCTATTATTAAATTTTATAAGTAAATATGAAAGTAATTCATAGAATTAATTGTTCAAACAAACCATAATTTGTGAATCGTTGTAGTAATACGATTTCCCATCCACGTATCCGAGTTGGGTTGTCTCTGGTGGAGGAAGGGGTGGACCATCATCTATAAATCATATAAATTGATACAAATTTTAGTCAAATTTCAGAATGGGTGGGTGCAGTATGTGTATGTACATTAGTAAAAATATCTATGTACGTACATTGTGCCGAAGCTGGGCTAAGATTTGTCAAAATTTCCAAAGCGCAGATCAACAGTGTCAAAAACATTTTGGAAAACAAGTCTAATGTTGTAAATAGTTTGCTTCAAGTGTGAATTTCTTAATTGGGGGTTTGCATTTTATATTCCGCCGGATAATTGAGCAGCAGAAATTGCAAATATGTGTGTACATAGCTCCAGGAATTTCGATTGACGTGGGAAGAGCTGGAATTATGTTCTTTACAATTTTATGTATTATTCGAACCTGACTTACATATGTATTTAATGCTTGTATTCGATGGTAAACAGTTTATTGCATTACTTAACAATTTTTTGGAATTTCGAGATTTGTGTACATATAAATCGACAATTGAATTAGTACAATAGGCACATATGTCGTTATATCAATATTAGCAAGGGAACATACCGAGGTGTCCAACGAGTTAAGGGTCGACACCTATACCAAAATGACCACAATACATTACTTATTAAACAAACTGAAGGAATTTCCGTGTAAAATTCACTTTTCGTCAAGTTGTGACGATATTTGTGACGAGCGCATGACCATCGGGTTGGCAGCGGGAGAGGTCGGCCGCTGAACGATCAGGTCGACCACAGAGAAGCGTCGTCGTCTTCGGAGATTTCAAATTTTGAAAACAACTTGAAATTTTGAAAAAATTTTGAGAAAATTTTGAAAATTTGAGAAAATTTTGAAATTTTGAGAAAATTTTGAAATTTTGAAATTTTGAGAAAATTTTGAAATTTTGAAGAAATTTTTGAAATTTTGAGAAATTTTTGAAATTGTGAGAAAATTTTGAAATTTTGAAGAAATTTCAATTTTTTTTCAAAATTTCAAGTGGTTTTCAAAATTTGATAGAATTTGAAATCTCTGAAGACGACGTGAAGACGACGACGCTTCTCTGTGTTCGACGTGATCGTTCAGCGGCCGACCTCTCCCTCTCTGGCAACCCGATGGTCATGCGCTCGTCACAAATATCGTCACAACTTGACGAAAAGTGAATTTTACACGGAAATTCCTTCAGTTTGTTTAATAAGTCATGTATTGTGGTCATTTTGGTATAGGTGTCGACCCTTAACTCGTTGGACACCTCGGTATGTTTCCTTGTAAGCTGTATTGGGAATTAAGTGTAAGCACAGACATTTAAAAGTTTGCTTAGCTAGTTTGTATTACTTTATATTTGTATTTCGGTACAAAATGCGATCAAAGTTGGAAGCCTTTTGTTGGAATTGTCTAAATATTTATTATGTAACGGTTGTTTCCACCACAAAATTCTTAGAATGTGGTATGCAAATGTTAAGTGAAAAGTAAATTTTGAATAATTGTTCAATATTTATTAATGTGCATTAGTTCAATTAGTGCCCGGAATTCTTAGGATAATTTTGAATATCTAGATTCGAATGGGTTAACCTTGATTATCTTACTTCGATTAAGTGCTTAGATACATGATCAGATGCAAGACACATGTATGTACATATCTGTATATACTTATTTTTCCTCAAAGGGCCAATTCAATGGAATGATAAGCGCCAAATGATTCCTAATTTTTGGATATAACTCGTTAGGCAATCCCGGTGTAGCTTGAAAAAAGGTTCGATTGTCAGTTACTCAAATATATTTTCCCCGCATCTACCCCATGCTCCCTCAGCATCCTCGCGAAAGAGCAAGAATACCTGTTTTAAAAAAATTCCGCGCCGTTCTTTCAACTTCGAATTTATTGCACATCTAAAAAATTGCATACAAATTCATGCATCATTTTTCCAGTAGCCCCGTCACTTTGGGAAACAAATGATAGCTTGATAGAACATCTCACGTGAAAATAAAGTTCAAAAATTGTCAACTTTGACACAATTGAATAATCTGAAACCGATCATTATTTAGATCTACTGTGTAAATTAAACTAGAATGTAGTGGTAGACATTTAATAGTATATATGTATTAATGCGTACATGTATATAACATAATCTATCCAAGAATTAAATGCATATTATATCATTTTGACTATATCTGGCAAAGTTATATATCTGTATATGCACAAATTTATGTAATCGTCAGTAATTTTGCAGTGCTGAGTACTATTATTTTTTATTTATTCCCACGATTGTTTTACATAAAGTCTGTCAGGATTATGTATGATACTATCAGAATTATTAAAATATAATTGGGAATTACAGTTTCATTATAAATAACACGACAAATGTGCTAAATTTATATTTTAATGCCAAATTTTATCTTTATCTCTATCCACACAAAACAAACATATTTTAAAACCTGTACGGATTATGTCGATTAGCACCTTCACATAACGGGGAGAACCAGTCATTTTCGCATGGCATGGAATACCAAAAAGTCTCACTTTCCCCGAAGGAACCATACGCCATCAAAGTTACGCACGTCTGAGGTGAATAAAAGAGGAACCGTTGTCCAAAATCGCCTAATTTCAGTTGTTCCCAAGAATCGTACCCGTCCCAGGTGAATTGGTCACGTGACACAGAATCCCGCGCTCCCATCCAAAATTCTATTTCAAAGCAAGTTTGAAATTGTCTTAACAATTAATTCAGAAATTCTCCACTTACGTCCAGTAAATGCTTCATTTTTAGTTTTCAAATCAAAAAAGTCCTGCTCGGCTTGCGTCTTTATTTCGCCCAGGCGCATTCCCCACTGCTCGCAGTATCGGCTAGCGGCAAACCAGTCCTAGGTAAAAGGGGAAAGTGAGATTTCTTACCTGGAAAATTATTTTAATAATTTCAGGCGTATTTTCTTGTGGGATTTACCATAAATAGTGTGCTGTTGTAGTAGTACGATTTCAAATCCACGGTGCCAAGCAGAACCGGAAAGACTGGAAAGTCTTGAGGAGGAGGGCCAGTTGCTGAAATATAAATCAAAAGATGAGAGGTTACATAGTCAAATTTTGGAAACATAAATTTTAAATTTCAGTGCATACTTTGTGCCGAAGCTGGACTAAAAATTGCAAAAATTTGCAAAGTGCAGATGAAAAGTAGTAGAGACATTGCGAAATGTATTTACAATACGACTACTGATAGGGAATTGGGCTATACAAGTGAATAGATAGCGATGCCTGTCGAGTTTTATATTCCACTGGGAATTCGGTGTACAATGGGGAAACAGAAATTGCAAATATACATCAATCCAGGAAATCTGGGGTGACGTGGGAAACTTGGAAATGTAGCTTCTAAGGATTTTATTGTGCACTATTATGTAAATATGTTGAGGTGATTATTATTATTTTCAGGGTGTGGTCAATACGTTATGATCGAGTAAATAAGTGAATTATCCAACAAATTCTGTGTAATCATGGAGCACCATCTGTACAAATATGTACGCTACCAAGTAGATACATATCTAAGGATAAATGGCATTAAGTAAATATTTAACATATCGATGTAATACCTAGTTTTAAAAATCTGGTTGCTGGTAATCGGTGTTGATTTTTCTTACTAAATTCTTAAAATTTAGCTAATTATATAGAGGTCAAACCTTATTGCACAGATTTTCGTCTCACCTTGGCATTTAACCAACATAAGACAATATGATTCTTATTTTTTCATATTTATATTTCCTGGTACCTGGTAGTAGCCTGAGGTAAAGTCGAGACTGGTGAAATATTTCTTGCCACGCAGGGACTGAAAAATATCATCAATGCGAGTTTGTGGCCACTGGATCTTTTTGGTAATACGGATAAGGGACCTGTAGTCTACCGTAAATCTTTGAGAGGTCAGGTTGCCGTCGTCATCCTTTTTCGGGACGAAAAAGCAAGGAGAGGACCATGACCCACGGATGGGACGTACAATTCCTTGGGCTAAAAGTTTGTCGACGTGACTTTTGATGTCTCTGTGAATCTTTTCTGGGTGATTAAATTGTTGCATTCTAATGGGAGGATGATCTCCGGTGTCAATATCGAATTCTACACGGTCGGTTCGCCCTAATTTGGTTGGGTCCCATGAAAAAATATGCTTAAATTCCGTGATCAGAGAAAGCAACTTGGCCCTCGTAGAAGGCGAAATGTTGGGATTGATTTTGAGTTTGGTCAGATCCATAAGAAAAGGTGGCGGTGAAAGTTCAGCTGCAGCTACCGGTGGTGGAGAAAGTGCGGCTGGTGGTGAAAGTAGGGCTGATGGTAATGGCGGTGGTGGTGGCCGTGAGGGCCCCGAGGCTGCTGGTGAACTTGTTAGGGATGGCAGAAGTGGTTGGGGTTTGGGGGGTTGTTCTGGTTGTGTCGCGGGAGTCCGCTGAGACGCATCAAGTAATTTCATGTCCATATTTCTGTTTAGTGATTGCATAATTTCTTTGTTATCGCAGGAATGGAATAATCGTTGCGGGGCGCTTGTATACGGGACGGAACCAAGGATAGGAGACATTAAACAGCGAAAGGATTCGTTGCTGGAGGAAATGTTCTTGAAAATCATGCCCAAGAAGAAGAGGACACGGTGATGAGGGGACGACGAAAAACGGGTATGTCACTTGTTTTGTGCCGATTTTGAGAGGTAGAATGACCAGGCCGCAATCTCTAATTGTATGATTGCCAAAATCCGACAGTCGGTAAGGTAAATTTGGGTTAATCCGGGGTAAACCAACAGCAAGGGTTTCTGTAATGATTGAGGCTTTGGCACCATTATCGACTGTTGCAGTGATTCGTTGATTATTGATAAAAGTGTCGATTGTTACTGGGCCATGATTGGCAGAGAAATCTTGTAGGTTGATGCGTAAGTCAATCGTATTTTGGTTAAAGGTGACATGTCGTGGTCCAGCAGGGTCAAGGGAGGGGGACGATGGACGTAGAATAGATTTTAAAGGCTTCAGGGATGGTGGGCAGATCAATCTGCCCAAAGCCGGGCGTTTCCCGACGGGGGCGGTGAACCGGGAGGGGTACGCGTTGAACGCTCATCCCACTGATGGTTTTCGCGTCGCGTGTTGTCACGATCCGTAGTATTATGATGGAAGTTGTCACGGCGACGGGGAGATTCATCATGGCGGCGTTGCTGAAAGTCTGAATTGCGACGCTGATCGCGGGGGGAGTCATCTCGGCGACGGTAGTCACGGTTGTCATTGCGACGGCGGTGGTCACGAGGAGAGTCGTCGCGGCGGCGGTTATCGCGGCGGT